CATCGGCCCTGGCCTGGGCTTGTGTACCAGAGGTACAGGCCGGCAGACAGCATGGAGAAGCCCGCCACGAACAGGAATATTGCCAGGGCCACTTTCTTGATCACCCTGGGGGGCGCATCGCAAGGAAGCGCGTGGGCAGCAAAGCCTGGTCATCTGCTGCGTGCCAAGACGATGGGGCTGTCGAGCTGGCTGGCAGGCTCGCTTCTAGAGGGGCGTCTGAATGGGTGTGCTGGGTTTGTATGGCGGGGCACTGCGGGGTTGCCGGTGCTAGGAGACGCCACGGGGAGGCTGGCCGATGCGCGGTGCTGCTAAGCCCGACGGCATTGCGCTGGCGCCCTTGCAAGCGTTGCACACCCTACCTGCTGCGTCTTTCATCTGCGTCATACGTAACAGAGTCCCAGGTTGTGGGCGCTTCCCACATCTCTGCCAGCGCGCTGCGGGCTGGCTGCCTCGTCCCTAACAAGTTTGCCTCCATCCAGTCAGCTGTGCTGCTTTCGCAGCGCCTCCGGAACTCCCGTTCGAACAATACTATCTCAAGTGTACACTAGGTTACGGTCTAAAAGTTACTGGGATATAGCCGCGATCTGCAGGTCGTGCTGTGTACGCTTGGGCTTGAGATGTGTGTGTACCACACGGTATCAAGTGACTGCCGTCTTCAAGTATGCATATGACAGGGCGTCGGAGCACATACCCTTTCCCGCCAATCCTGCTCCAGTGGGCTGGCGCAATCCCCGCCACCGCCGCTCACCTTCGGTGCCCGCCGCCGCTACGGTATCACCACTTCACCAGCCGTTTTGTTCTTTGTGATTCTGGATGATAGCAGCCATCCATACCATACAACCTTTGATTATGATTTCTTTCAAGTTGGGGGCCCAGCCATGCCCACGCCAGGTTCAACTTCTGCTCTTAGTCATCGCCTGATGCGACCTCTTCCTGTGTCACTCACCCAGCGCAGCCTGCAGTCCCAGATGCACAATACATACGAGGGGCAGGGGGAACGCAAAACAGTCACAGCACAACTGGCTCAGCTGCAACCAGCCTGCTTGCTTTGGTTGCCGACCTGTTGGCGGATTTTGTCCACTGAGTGTGAGCAGCCTCGTCAGCTTCGGGCAGCTCCCATCATTGAGGGGGGCATGTATGCAACAAAACTGAACATGCATTCTTGGTTGCTGCGGAGTGAAGCTGACACCGCTCTGACAGTTGTGGGCTCGGAGTCTACAACTGCCCTTCATCGGCCGACAGAGCGCCTTGCGCTTTGAGACCTTTCAGCTTCACACAGCCAACACAAGGCCTTAAGGCCAGCTCGTGTTGATTGGTGAGCATTATTACTGCGTGATTGGTTGGCAGTAGTCAGTCCACACAGAACAGTGCTGCTGCCCGGCTACCACTTGTACAAGACACACATGGCGCCTCGCCCTGTGGTGAGGGGTTCGGTGTTGTGGGCAAGTGCACGTGAATTGCAACCGCATAGACCATGTCACTGCCTCAATTGCACGACACATTCGGCTGCACTGGATCCCAACCTTCCTCGGCTCAATCGCTTGTTGCGGGACTGGTACCAGGCCGTTACGATCGCGTTGGTCGCGATGCTCGCCATGGCGTCCGCGTCCAAGCTCAGCACCGAAGGTGAGGGCTGGCTGATGCCCGGGGTGGCGCCTTTTGAGGCATTCGCGACGGCACCTGTGTTCGGCGGATGAGCGGCAGTTGAACGCGGTTGACATCGGCTCTCCCCACCGCCATCCCACACATGCAGGTGGCTTCTTCAGGCAGCTGAAGTAAGCGATGGCGCTCACCTCTGGGCATGTGCTTTCACCAAACTGCTGGGGCCGCTTAACGCAATGATGACCCTTTTGTGCTGCTCAAACTGATCAACCCTGTGCTGTGTTGATTCAACGAGTGGTGTCTGACCGCCTGCGCACTTGGCGGCCACGTCCTCCAGGCTCGCCTGTGCAGATGTCAAGGCTCTGCAGGGCAATTGCGACGCGCTCTGCGGCTGCATCAAGGAGAAGAACCCTAACGAGCCTCGGTAGGCCCCTAGCTCCCCTCGGGTGGGGTAGGGGGTGCTTGGCACCAGAATAGTATGGGTAGTGTCATTGCTCGTCAAACAGAACTTCGCATACAAGCACAAAACAGAACTTGTGATGCTACTGAGCCCAATCAGTAGCACTGCTGCTCGTCCTCGTGCAAGGCATCCGCGCTGGCGTTGCAGCAGGTTCCAACGCACACTGATGCTGACGCACTACTAGTGCGTCAGCGGATAGTATCCGCTGCCGCTCTGAGACATCCACCCACCCCGTATTCGCAGCCTTGGCGAGTGCAAGTCGCTGTGCGAGGGGTGCGTGAGTGCCGCCGCCAGCTGTTTCAACGACCCCAAGGCGCCGCTGCCCAGTGCCTGTGCCGAGTATCAGGGCATCGTCAGCCCCTGCACCGGCAGATAGGGCGGCCGGCACCAGGACTCCCAGCCAACATCTGATGGGCGGGCCCAGTGTCAGTTGACAACGCCTGCTCAACAGACGCAAGGATCTTGATTTTTAGATGGTGCATGGCAACACACCGCCCGCCCTCTGTGCCCAGCAAGGTGTTGATGTGGTTGCGCTTTGTTATGTCCCCTGCGTCCCCTTGGACGTGCTCTTGAAAGCTCTGCTGACCCCCTGATGATGTGTGTCGTCAGGACTCAAGCCATTGTTGCCCAGCATGTTGTAAAACGCCAAACAACGAAAGTGTGATAACCACTGTTGTGGCATGTTACGTGGCAAGCTTTTGTCAGAGGTTCGGTCTTGGCCTGAATACTGCCATGACACGTGGAATAGTGATGCGACTTTCCAGAAACGTGTCCAAACGAGTCCTGGCAACAGACTTCAGCCCAGCACATGGGGGACCGTAGCAAAAACACTGGCGGCACCGCCGATGAATTGTGCAGGCCAGTTGACGGCCTATTACGAGGACGTCCGCTCAGCCCCTCACACGGCGGCCGCTGCAGTCCTCCCTTTGCTTGCAGCCGCAGCACTGACGGCTCCACGCATTCGAGAGCATTGCGCCCTGCAGGACTCGACCCAACAGGCCAATGGCATTGCAGCAATACAGCTGCCTGCAAGGAAATACGAATTGATTCAAACGACAGCAGGTGCGGCCCACCTGGTGCGCCAGTGGGGCGCCCCAAGACGCAACCCGCAACCAATGCGGAAAGACGAATGCTGAGGGGCCCTTGGGTTTGTCCGGTGCCAGAAGGCGGCACGTAATGCATTTCAAGGGGCGTGGAATACAAAGCAACAGCGCACAAACCTCTGGCGCTGCCATCAAAACGCGCCTCCCTGCGCAACCCAACCCAGCAGCCGCAGTTGCGGCGAGTGTGGCTGGGGCAGTGCTTCATTGGGCAGCGCTTCGCACTGATGCAGCGAGGCGCGCGGGTTCGGCCCTGAGTGCGCCCCCCGCATTTCGCCGCAGGCATGGACAGGAGGGCCGTGACCGTGTGCAGCGCCCCGCAAACCTCCGCCAGCCCCACCAAGCACCCAGGGAGCTCGGTGGCCGACGTTGGGCGACGTCGGCGATCACATGACCGGCACCGCAGCGGCCGTGCTCGCTCAGGACGCGTGCCGCGGGGCGCACTGCTCACTGCCCGCGAGCGGCGCAGCCCCTCAGTTGGCTGCGGGGTAGAACCCGCCCGAGGAGCTGTAGCGCTCGGCTGTCTGCGTGGCAATGTCCCACCGTCCTGGGCTCGCTTCGCTGGGGCAGTGAGCCACGCCATCCAGGTCCTCCGCAGCCCCCACCCCGCCGCCGCCGCCGCCGCCGCTGCCGCCGCTGCTGCTGCCCGCGCCGCTGCCGACGACCGTGATCTTGGCCGGGTTCAGGGTTTGCTTGCTGCGCCCCGCCGGGCTCGGCGACCGCGACCGCGCCCGTGCGCCGCCGCTGGCCCGCTCCGCCCCCAGCACCACGAGCTTGCCCGTGTCATCCTGGCTCCACTTGACGCGCCAGCGGCTACCGTCGGCGGGGTCTGTTGCGGACTCGTCGCCGAGGCCCACCATCACGCGCGAGCCGTTCGGAAGGTCGACGGACACGAGGGTGCTGCCGCTGGCCGCCGCATACTCCAGCTCGGCCTGGGCGGGCGCGAGGGTGTTATTGTGGGATTTCAAAGTGAATGGTTGCGCAGAGGGATGGAAGGGGAGTGACAGCAGGGGAGGAGGAAGGTGATGCTGCGCGCTTGATTGGTTGGATGGCTGAGCTGGTGGCTCGGCTGATGCTGCCGTCCCTGCAAGCGGCCGCTGTCAGCATTGCAGACCTACGCACCGCAACCTGTCCGCCGCCCCCTTGCAGCCGCACCCACACTCCGTCTCCCAGCGAACAATTTCCGATCTACAGCGCGGCCCCCTGCCACACACATCCTCAGATCCCCCCGGGATATCCTCGTCCCTTACCCCCTATGCGCAACACAAACACACACACGCACACACACACTCACACTCACACACGTAGCCCCCACCCGACCCCTACCC